GTCCTTTCATGTAACTAGCATAACATATAAATATTAAATTGAAGTGGCGGCAGCAGATCATTCAGAATCTGTCCTTTCTTTCAAACCTGTGTTCTACTGCTCTCTCACTAATCTTTCTTTCAAACCTGTGTTCTTCTTCACTTTCTCTTCTGTTCGAACCTGAAATTCCTTAGTGCCCAAGACTGATAGCAGTCTTGATCATCTTCAATGATTATAACACAAAAGGCAAAGTAGTCAGGTAGCTGGTCTTGCATCAAATTCGTACCAGAGAAGGTTAATTGAGAAGTCATTAATCTGAAAGCCAAAAATCATAGTTTTCATAAAGATCAACAGCTTCTGCTTTCTCTGTCACTGTCATCTCTTTCATCAATAGCTGCTTTTAAAAGTTAGAGTTGTGTTGGTCATCCTCGTCATAAGACTTAGTTGTTAGAGATAAGTTTAAGATCATTTTTAGTGATACACCTGTCTATGCATGTGTTCAAACTGTAAACCGATTAAAACCTGTGATCATATTCTGTCAATGAAAATAATACGACGAATGATTGTGAGAACTACTAGCATAGAACTCCGTCATGTGGATGGTAAAAGGAATAGACTTCTGATTGTCAATCTTTTTTTTTATCAGTAAAAATGTATTTTATTAAATTCAGATTATAAGCAGTTTATACAACTTGGTGATGGGACTGTTTGTCCCCTTTAATCATTCTATTTTACCCCTCATTACAGTGCAGCCCAAAATAATTGTTGTCTCAATGCCCCCTGTTTTGCTAATCCATCAGCTAGCCCATTTGCACTTTTTCGGACCCATTTGAATTCAGCATCAACCTCCTTTGCTATCTTCTCCACTTCCCTAATCACATGTTTAAACGTCCATGGGGTATGGCTGCTATTTGTTGCCCATGATATTGCTACTTTTGAGTCCCCTTCCACTTCAACGTGTCTGCATCCTAGTTGTTTGGCTAGCTTTAACCCTTGTAGTAATGCCAATAGTTCAGCCTTCAACGAGTTTCCGTTGCCAATCGGTCCTAAGAACATACCCAATATCCTCCTGTTAGAGTTTCTTAATACTCCTCCAATTCTTGAGATGCCTAGATTTCCAAAGGAGCATCCATCAAAATTCAGTTTTACTTTATTGCTTTCTGGTGGTTTCCACTCCAGCCTTACTTTATCTCTTACTCTCGAAGATTGTGCTACTTAGGACCATGTTTTTAGAATGTCTGTGACTGAGAAGACTTGAAAGCTATCCAAGGATTTTACCCAATGGGCTACTTTCACCTTGATACTATCAATCACTTCCTCTATTGTTCTACTTTTTTTCAAGAAAATTCTGTTCCTCTCTTCCCAGGTTACCCAGCAAATTGCTGCCTTTGTTGCTTTTCACATTACCATCCCTCTTTTCCTTCGTTGTCTCACTTAAGCTTTCCTCAGTGTGAGCTTGTCTTACACTGCCGGTCCCAAACCTAAATAAAAGAGGAGGGTTGTGTAAGGTTGGAAGCTGGCATTAAAACTTTTGAGAAACTCTTCTGGTCATAGATCCTGAATTGTCTTTTTTGTGTTAGCACTAAACAAAACAGGATTCATGTAGCCAACCCCATATAATAACGCTTTAGATGATAATAATGATGAGTTAATCCTTCCTCACTTTAGACATCTTGTCTTCACCTATACTCACTAGTCTGATAAAAATTCCTTGGACATGATTTGATGAGTTTAACTTGCACTATTGGCTTTTTGGTAATGACAACCCCTGGTAAGCCTATCTTGTCTTCACCTATATTCACTAGTCTGATAAAAATTCCTTGGACAAGATTTGATGAGTTTAACTTGCAGTATTGGCCTTTTGGTAAGGACAACCCCTGGTAAGCCTATGCTTCAGCATGCTCAATTATGCATATCACATAACATGATACTAATTTTATCACTAGATATTCTATGGATACCTCTGCAATCTGGATACTTTATTGGTACTTCTCCAACTTATTCATGCCCAAAAACCTGTTCGGACTTGGCAGGATGAAAGATATTGGAGATGGTCCAAAGAAGGAAACTTTTCTGTCAAATCCTTCTATGAGAATATGGTAGACTTACCCCCTCCGAATTTTCCTTGGAAGGAGATATGGGTCTCTCACATTCCTTCCAAGATAAGTTTCTTCATGTGGGCAGCTGTGAATGGCAAATGCCTTTCAAAGACTCAGCTTTCAAGAAGGGGACCTCCTTTGAATTCCTTGGATTGCGTGACATGTGGTCAGGGAGCAGAGTCCTTTGACCATCTATTCCTGCACTGCCATGTAGCAAGCTTCTTATTCAATCATGTCTGTAGGTTGCTGAATGTAAGGGGGTGCCAACCAAGGTGTTTGTTTGAACTCCTGCAGTCCTGGAAGCTGCTGGGGTTAAATCAGAAGGGGAAGCTCTTTTGGAGTACAGTTCCCCATGTCATTTGCTGGGGATTGTGGAAGGAGAGAAATAGAAGGATCTTTGAAAGGGAGAGCTGGGCTCTGGACAAGGTGGTACAACAGGTTGTGGCTTCAATTCATTCCTGGTTGTCTGCCACAGATCTCTTCAGAAGAATTCCTCATGACCACTATTTTGATAGCAGCACCCTTTTCAGCTAGTCAGACATGTTAATCAGAATCATGAGACCTGCTTTTGTTGTTGGCTTTGAGGTGACTGTTTTTGGGATCTTCTTTTTTGTGAATTCTGATGTATAGTTCCTGGCTGTACATGTAGATATTTCCATCTTCTGATATACTTGTAATCTGTGCTTACAGTATGCCTATAATATAATTCATTACATTACCTTCTCTCAAAAAATGGGTACTTCTGCAGTACAATTTTATAACTTTCTTTCTTTTGGTTGAGGGATGGGTGATAAGGAAGATCCCAAATGGATTTTCTACATGAAAATAGAAAAGTAATGGTAGTCATTATCTGCATCCTCTAGCCTTATCACATTTTGGATCTGCCTCATTACCCATGGAGAATCTTGTGAGCATACACAATTAATTCATATATCGCATTCACCATGTTAAAAAGAAGACAGAAGTAAGTTACTTTCCTGTCATCTAATCTTTATATTCTACATCTCAAATCTTTGCAAAAAAAGGAAGCTATCTTCAATGCTATTCCCTTTGCTCTCCACAGGTTTGTGTAGGACTGAATACCCATCTGGGAGGGCTTTCATGTTTTGCTTTTAGCTTTGTGAGATGTGGCCCACCTGGAAAGCCTATATGTAATATTTGGTAAAAAATCAAGAGAGCCAAATTTGGTCATTATATAGCATTAGATAGTTTTCCATTCAAACCTGTTTGAGTAGCTTCTTCAAAGCAGCTGAACCAAAGTTAAGCTCTCCAAAAATGAGCTCTGAAAAGAACAAGCTACTGCAGCTTCAGAGTCGGAATGTATGTTAAGATTTTGAGATACCATTTTTGTAGAAAATACAAAAGAATCCATTTCAGACAGAAGAATATTACCTTACCTCCTTTTTTGCACCATATGCCATCATCCATATTACCTAGACACAGAAAGGACATGACTGGATATGGTATTGGATCAAATCATTGAACTTCTCAGGATCCCCTCCCTTTCTCACAGGTTAAACTATGGTATCAGCATCTTAAGTGGAATACTTATTATCACATCTATGTATTGCCTATGAGGAAATGAAGAGAAATGAAGAGTCATATCCTAGTTTTCAACGTATTCAATGATGTCCAAATTTGTACTTTTTTGCATTTTGAAGAAGAGCATTGGTGTTTACTGCTGACCTAGTAGATCTGTCCCTATGCTGGCTCATATGAAGTACTGGGCGATGAATATCATTAATGATTCTTGAGCATTCCTTTTCCATCTTATGAACTCCAACATTGCTTTAAGATGAACGAACTAGGGCCCTTCCACCTCTCCATAACGTGCTGATGCATTATACCCAAGTGAAAGTATGCATGAGGGGGGAGGTGGAAAAGAAACGGTGTTTTCTGGTATCTTTTGCTAAGCACCTTAGCAATTCCACAGAGGCAGTTAATCTCTCTTACCATATGATTTGGAATACTCCATCTCCCTCCAAAATGGCCTTTATGACCTAGACTGCTGCTCTTAGAATGTCCCTTACTCGATACAACCTTCAAAAAGAAGAGGATTGACATTGCAAGATACAAAATGAGTTGTGTTGAACTTCACTCAAAACAGAAACTTGCTTAGATATATTCAAAATCACATGCGTGCATTCTGAGATGCAGATATAATGAACGGATTGACATGTACCATTTTATTTCTTACAGTGTACGATTCAGATATGCAAAGTAGAAGCGTTTCAAACAGGCTAAAGTAGCAGCAATAAGAAAGGCCACATGAACACATGATCAGATAAACAACAGATATCTGGATATTGAGGGAGAACAAGCACCTTTCACCTTAAACTTGTTACTCAGAAAACCCAGATTGTTTATCAGCTGAAAATCTTTGATGGGCAAGGTTTTTCTTTACCTATCTCTTCCCACTTGAGCAAGCTTTCTGCTTTCATTCCTTCTGTGTCTGTGAATTCTTCTCTGCTTCTTTCTGTTAATTGCAATTTGCAATCCCCAGAAGAGGAAGGCAATTAAGATCTGTTCACGGGCCGGGCTTCCGGTTCGGCCCATGAACATTTTACACTGCATCAGGCTAGGGCTTCGAGAAGGGGCATTCCAATTCTGGCAAAAGCTAAGCCCGAACCCGGCCCATGAATAGGTTTCCTCATTAAAACGTGATTCGTTAATTTATCGGATCGAATTGGACTAGATCCGTTGGATCAAACAATTCTTTTAGGCTACGTATCGTACAATAATTTTCGAAGACAATTTTACCCCTATTTAGATATACCATATATGTAAATTTTTTAAATATCTCATATTGGTTTCGGGTGAATCGGGAGGCTAGAATAGTAAAAAGGGATTTGAAGTTAAGATTTAAGAAACCTAACAGGTTCGATTCAGACAGACCCGTGGGAAGGATTGAAGGAAAGAGAAGTACAGAACCGGAGAAGCCGGAGGCACCGCAGCGAGTCTAGGCGTCGGCTCGCAACTCAATCAACTCTATCCTATCAATCATTCACCTCAAGCGGTTTCGCCGGTCACCGTTTTCCGGCAAGTAGTGCATTAGAAGGAGCTTCTCTACTCTGAAATCGACAAGTCCCTTCGAAAAACATTATCTTTGAGTCCTACTGATTCTTAACTCTGGAATTGACAATCTTTCATGACGGGATTTAGGTAAAATATGTAGCAACCTCCACCCAATGTTGTAAGTTCAAGCGTATAAACGAGATGGAGGGAACCCGGATTTTTTTTTTCTTTTGTGTGTGTGAAATCACCAATTTTGAAACTCAAGTGACCAATTGCAGAGAGCAAGTTCAGAAAGTCTTATTAAAAGATTGTGGTCTTTATTACTCCTATATTTATTTATTTTTTATCACAATATGCAATTGAATCTTTGCCCATTGTTTGTTCTGTTAGATGCTAGCACACTTATGAATGGCGTGGAGAGAGATAAGGAAAAAGGTGGGCTGTAAGGTATCAATTAACCCATTTGAATGTGATATCTATTTTTTGCTTATGAATGTGACTTGCACGCGCTGAACTGTCCCTAAATTATACAGCCTTGTTAGTACTAGAATTTAGAAAACATGGAGGATACAAGTTTTAGAAACTTGCTTACATGGATGCAATGAATTTCTATTCCAAATGATTTCCCTCAACCTGTTCTTTATAGGAATATGCATTTTCAGTTTGGTTGTGTTTGTAATAATTGGAGATAACAAGATGGAGGAAAAGATAAAATGAGAAAGAACACTCTTGAGGTAGCATGCTATATTGTATGGTCTGTTAATTTGGGCTTATGTACTCAAATAAGAATTTTAGAATAAAAAAATTTATTTAATGAATAACACAATAGTTAACATTTGCTCCATTGATAGTGCTTAATAGGTTTTACATGAATTTTCCTTTTTCCCAGGGTATCTATGTTAATATTCTAAGAGCTTTGAACTCAACTGGCATAGGAGATGGAGTACGGTTAATTTCTACATCTGTCTGGGGCTTACCAGGTAAATCTTATTTCATGTTACTTTCTTATATTTTCTATTTTTGGCATGTGGTGTTGGGGGTGGGTGGGGAGGGGGGGGGTGCGTGGGTGCAAATATGGGCTTTAGCACTAATGGAGTTAAGAAATTTCAGGGGACATATGCTGGGGGACTATGGTTATAATGCTGGTTTAGAAGAGTAATTTGGCAAAAATCTATATGCTGAAGCTGAAATTCATGTTTACCTGCTGATTTTATTTCTATCTTGTTTAATAGCTTGTTAGTTCAATCAGACTGCAAAATATTCTGTATGTTAGGTCCGTAACTGGTCTAACCTTCCCAACAACCTGGGTATCTGGAACCAGCATTGGGTAATGTTTTTTTTTTTTTTTCTTGACATCTATAACAACTGTGAAGTTGTTAATTAAATCGCAAATTACCCATCAGAAATGGAAAAGAATGAAAGTAAGACAAGCACAAGTCAGATCAAGTTTGATTTTATATTCAGATCTATGATCACTATGAATTTTCTAATGCAGAACATTATGTTAGTGCAACCTTCCAAGGTCCTGAAAGCTGCATTGTTTCTAACAAACCATGCTCTATTCGGTAAGTTGATTCTTTGGTCTTTTCTTTATCTCCTTTCCTTTATCCTTCTTTTACCTTTTATTATTGAGTGCTCTGGCATCTAGCCAACCTTTATCAACATATTTCAAAACTTTCTGTTGTGTCAATACTTTTTGTTTATGAAAATGAACAGTTTACTAGTCTTTTCCTTAACTAGGGACTTCCGACATTTATATGGAAAAAGGTTTCATTATCAGGTCTAATAGGGAGATTCCCTACATGACCCTGCCATATTTCTTCCAAGTTGGTGAATCATGTCCTTGAACCAGATTGTCCATTGAGTAGGGGATCCTCTGGATTTGCCACACTATGGATTCCATTATTTCTTTGGTTCCATGGAAATCAACAATAAAATATGACTTTGTTCACAGAAGCCCTTTAATATTACTTTTGGGCAAGTGAGGATATATTGCCAGTTATCGCTTATCAATTGTCAGCTCCCAAAAGTTTTGGTATAATATAACCATATTCCATATTAGCCTTATGTTAGCAATGAAGCAAAAGGGTGAGAAACCAATTCTAGCAAATATCTTAGCAAATAAACCTTCCATATAAAGAAGCAAATCTTGGTTGGAATTTAGGTCCTCATATCCAACGCCTAGGATAGGGGTGCTCATGTAGGAATGGCAACGGGGAGGTTCGGGGCGGGGATCATATTCCTGTCCCCGATCCCCGCCAGGCATAAAATTTGTCCTCCATCCCCGACCCCCAATGGGGATGGGTTCCCCGTGGGGACCCGAATCCCCAAAATTTTTTAGATAACAGTTTTTAAAAAAACTACTTAAAATAAATAAAAATTTTAAATTATAATATATATATATAAAATCAGGGTCGGGGCGGGGCGGGGCGGGGACCTCAATCCCCAAAACCGAACCAATATCTTTGTTTTTTTAAAAATACTGAACCAACCAGTTCAGTTAACTGGATTTTTGTTTCGATTTTGGTCGGTTTTTCAGTTTTTTTTTGGGGTTTTTCTTGCTCACCCCTACCTAGGAAATGATCTGATGCAAGCTGATGGTTCTATTTGATGCCATGATGTCTAGAAAGGAATAGACTAAAGTACTGAGGAGAGATCTGAAGGCTAACAATATTACAGTAGATATGACTTGTTATCAAGTGGATTGACCGAACAGGATTCATATTGCTGGCCCAATGTAGTTGGAACTTGGGATGAGTTAAATATATTGAATACTAAGGAAAGGAACACTTGTATCATCCCTTTCTAGGGAAACTTTGAATTTTTTGAGATGGGCAAAACAGACAAGTACTTGGCAAACCGGCCTATTTGGTGTCTAAGATAGGGGTTTGGACTACTAAGTTTTCTACCAGCTCATTAGGGGTGAGCATTTGGTATGTTCAGTTAAAACCGAAACCAAATTAACCAAATGCCTAAGAGGGAAAACTGAACGAAACTGAATTAAGGCATTGTCAAAATGACCGAACCGAATTTTTTATCGGTTATTTTGCTTTAATGAAATTTGGTTAATTTGTTTTTTTGGTTAACTGAATTTTCAAATCTGAAAACTGAAATCGAAACTGAATTAGCCCAAAACCTGAAATAACTGAACCAAAAAAGCTGAAACTGAAAATTCCAGTTAACCGAAATATGCTCACCCCTACAGCTTGTAATAACCCCATATGAGTAGAATACACTCTTCTCCACAGCCATGGGGTATACAGAAGGAACCCAGGAAGCTCCCCACCAAACAATCTATCCTCCTTTGGCATCTGGTATGGTCAACCCCCCTCCCAAACTTAAAGTTAAAATGGTATTACAATTATTACTGTTGAGTGGGCCGACTTGTGTTTAGTTTATTTCCTTTTAAATTAAGATGTTGTTGGGCCTTGGGCCCATTAGTCTTTATTTTTTAAMGAGTTGTAATTACTTAGGTTGAGTTGCCGCCCTACTTAGGGCATCTTTGTAATATCTCATACTTAAGTTAATTATAAATAGAATGAGGGGCTGGCGGCTAGGGTTAAGTWAATCTATCCTAGTCGACCTTTTTCTCTTTTCTTCCCTTTCCTTTGTCTCTTGCTGAAATCCCCAACTTTCTACTCTTCCTTTCACAAGAAGCTTGGCCGAAATCAGCACATAAGGTTTTCTACTATTACTTTGGAGAGTTTTTTTTCTAATCAATAACAAAAGCTCACATTTGTTCAAAAAAATCTCTGCTACCCAAATAACCAAGTAGAGAGAGGGATAAAAGGCAACCCGTGTACCTTGTCACCTACAAGAATTTAGAAGTAGAAACAGAGCAATTTACACATCTGATCATGGCCCAGGTTTTCCCAATTGAAGACTTTTCCTAGTTGTCCCGCTTTAGCAAATGTATCAGCAACAACATTAGCAGACTGCAGACTGTGGCACCCACTTGAACATATAGACAGTTTTGACATTTAATCATTTAAAATATACAGGTTTCTGATAAAAAATTATTTAGAATATGCAGCTTTCCATCTAACAAATTAGTGCTTCATGTGCAAGAGATGTGGTTCATACGTTTATTCAATGTGAGGTTGTTGATTTTTTTGGAGGTCCTTTTCTTTTCTTTTCTTTTCTTTTCTTTTTTTTTTTTTTTTTTGATCAGCAACACAGAAAAAAATTGATTAATTATGAGAGAAACATGATTACAACAAGAAGTTGTGAAAGGAACCAGCTACAGAAGCTGCCCCAAACTACATTTGAGCCCAAAACATATGTGTTCTATGTACCCCTTGCTTGGCTAAGCTATCTGCCAAGCTATTAGCAGTCCTCACCCATTTCACTCGGATTAACATGTCCTGTGACAGCCATTTGAATTTTCTGAATTCATTCCTCAAATTCCATGCCACCCCTCCCCTTTAACTCCTTTTCTTTTGTTTATTCAGGAGAGGCCATTACTTGGTGTAATGGTAAAATCTCAGGCTGTCAAGTGTGAGAACACTTCGAATCTGAGAGCAGTCACTTTGTGCAAAAAAAAAAAAGCCAAAGGTTAGGACTGTATCCAGTTCAGCTCTCCCTAGGTCACAGATAGCTGGGGGCCTGGATCCAATATTGGGTAATGGCCTTTTTCTTTTTCTTTTTTTTTTTAATTTAGAAGATAGCAGTTTAGGCCAACATAATTACACAAGATCTTCTCTTGGCCTATTACTACTGGTAAGAAATAAATATTGTTTGGAGTGTAATTATGCTGAGGCATATGGAGGAAGAGGAACATAAGAATATTTGATGGGAAACAACATAACAACAGTAGTGTTTAAGTGTTCATCACTTGGTGCTAATTTTATGTTTAAGATTTCAGTTATAAATATTGTATAGTTGTACTGTTTTCTTTCTTTGGGGTGAAAACCTCTTCATTTTCCTTGTGATCCTCTCTTTATAATAAATTTAAAAAGAGAAGATTACAACGACTTTGGAAGAAATTTTGAATTTAAACTGTTCAAGCTGACCTTTCGGAATCTAGGTTCCAAGCATACTTCTGATTAATGACTTTGGATGAATTTTGTCAAAGTGCTCCATGTGTTAAGTTGATGACTATAAGCAATATATAACTAGAACAAAAATTGTTTGCCTTTTGGGGCCATCAGCTTGGGGTGCATTAATCCTATAGTCCTATTCTTTTAGTATGCATCAGTAAAGTTACAATATTTACCAATAAAAAATATGTTTATCTTTTTGGTAATAAATTGTAAGTAATAGATGTCATAGTTATCATTAGACCTTCAAATCTACCCTATATTGCTTGCTATGCTGGAGGAAAAATCAATTTATCTAATTGAGTGGTTCAACCTAAAATGTCTCTATGTGGTTCCAATGTGTTCAACTTTTTGCAGGTATTTTCATGCAAGTTCAGAGCTATTTTATAAGAGAAAAAGTGATGAAGCATTTGGTTTAAAAGCTCCCAAGAAAGAGAAGTATGTGAAAAGGGACAATAGGACCCAACCACCTGTTGAAGCTCCATATGTAGCTCCTAAACCAAAAAGAACGACAAAATCATTGCCTGATAGAACAATCGACATCTTTGAAGGCATGACTATTTCTGAACTTGCCAAGCGCACGGGTGAATCAATAACTTCACTGCAAGATATCCTTATAAATGTTGGGGAGAAAGTTGAATCAGAGTTTGACCCTATCAGCATTGACATTGCAGAGCTGGTTACCATGGTATTTTCCTTCTCTGCTTGTCAAGTTTTGTTTTTTAAACTAATCAAGTCAAGATGCACAATTGTCTAAGTGTTGTCTGGGCACCTTTGGCTGGGTAACGTGCCTAAATGCCTTGACTGGGTGCCTGCCTTGGCATAAAAAATGACAAGGCAAGCACCTTATTATAACATCTTCATATTCCTTTTTCTTATCAATATTTGTGTTTAAACATTCTATCATATAATAGATATATCATTTTCACTTTTTTTGAAGTATTATTATTGAAATTTAAAAGATCAAAGTGTTTTGAAAAGAGAAAAAGAAAGGAACAATAGAAATTTAAAGATATTTCTTTTTTCCATTCTCTTTGTCTCTCTCTGACATTAAATAAAACGGCAGTTCCATCCTTGTTTTTTTTTTCTTTTTTACTTTCTATCTTTAATTTTTTATGATATAAAATTATAGCCTTCTTTAGTTGCTAATTGATATAAATTGCTTTATTAAATACTTATCATATTTAGTAATTATTTTTGAAAATATTGAATTTAATATATTTAAAATATCTTTATCTATTAGATATGATAATTTGCCATGTTGTGAGAGGAAATTTAATTAATGTTCTTAATAAAGAGAATGCTATTTTTTCAATTAATATGCATGCTGAATGGTATGTAAAACTAGAGAACTAAAAATTAACAGATCTTATCTGTTAGATTTGAATTGGGATCTGCTCCTCACACCGACCTCACAGGCACATCCCACCGTGTATTGGGCACATCCCACCGGACTCGTTAGATTTGGATATTGTATACCATTAATAACTGAAACTAAAAATTATTAGAATATTAAAATGAACTAGAAATGGCTTTGATATTGTATTATAATAAATAAAATGACTAAAGTCTTGAACCTATGACCCTTTGGTTAACATGCAACATACCAACTTTACTAAAAGATACATTTTCATTTTATGTTAATATATGTACAAACACAAACAAATATATATGTATGTAAATATATGTATAATACATACATGTATACATCCATCAAATATAATCCGATTGGGGTGGATCAATATTTGATGTGGATCACCTCAATTGGATCAGATTTGAATTCAGATTCTGAAAAATAGATACCATTTGCAGCCCTAAGTTTATGGGCTAGTAACTTTGGTTTTCAATCTTTGACAGGAAGTTGGAGTAAATGTTAGAAGGTTACACTCAAATGAAGGTGTAGAACTACTACCACGTCCAGCAGTAGTTACAGTTATGGGTCATGTTGATCATGGGAAAACCTCTCTCTTAGATGCCCTGCGTCAAACATCTGTGGCTGCTAAGGAAGCTGGAGGCATCACCCAACACCTTGGTGCATTTGTTGTGGACATGCCATCGGGAGCATCCATCACATTCCTTGACACACCAGGCCATGCAGCATTTAGCGCAATGCGAGCAAGAGGTGCAGCAGTCACAGACATAGTGGTGCTTGTGGTAGCAGCTGATGATGGTGTGATGCCTCAAACTCTAGAGGCCATGTCACATGCAAAAGCAGCTAATGTCCCAATTGTTGTTGCAATCAATAAATGTGATAAACCAGCTGCAGACCCAGAAAGGGTGAGAATCCAGCTTGGTTCTGAAGGCTTGGCATTAGAGGAAATGGGTGGAGATGTTCAGGTGGTTGAAGTTTCAGCAGCAAATAAGACTGGTCTGGATAAATTGGAGGAAGCTCTTCTTCTCCAGGCTGAGATGATGGATCTAAAGGCACGTGTGGAGGGACCTGCTCAAGCTTACGTGGTAGAAGCAAGACTTGACCGTGGAAGGGGCCCTTTGGCTACTGCAATTATAAAGGCAGGTACCTTGGTCCCTGGGCAACATGTGGTGGTCGGTGCAGAGTGGGGACGAATAAGAGCTATCAAGGATATGGTCGGGAGGGTGACAGATATGGCACGACCTACCATGCCTGTAGAGATTGAAGGGCTAAGGGGACTCCCAATGGCTGGTGATGATGTCATAGTTGTAGAATCAGAAGAGAGAGCAAGAATGCTTAGTGCAGGCAGGAAAAAGAAGCTGGAGAAAGATAGGCTTCAGAAGATTGATGAAGGGAGGATAGAAACTCCTGATTTATCAGAAGAGGTGCCTGATAGGGTTGAGATGCCAATAGTAATTAAAGCAGATGTGCAGGGTACTGTTCAAGCGGTCACAGATGCACTGAAAAGTCTAAACAGCCCCCAGGTATTACTCCGTCTGTGTATATGCTAATTATGACTGGATTATCTTTTCTTTTTTCCTCCCTCAGGGCGGAGGCCTATTTGTTGGTCGTTTGGAAATGTTGCAGCCCACCATTGATGGTGGTGCTTTGACTTCAGGCCACAATTGGTTGATAGTTTATCATTTGGGTTTTCCAACCATTCTAGAACCCATTCGTCACTAGAGCTTACCTTACTTGGATGTCCCAACAGTTCCACTAGTTACTACCTTTGTATGTGCATGAAATTTCAGAGTTACAAATTTTGGGTTAGAACCATCAACCATCCGGCAGTTGCATATCCTTCTGATGATCCATGAAATAAGCACACATAGTGCGGGGTTCAGTTTATTTGGTGTAGAAGTGGTTTTGCCCTTCTGGAAAATCGAATACAGTTCCAACGTGAGAAATGGTGAAATTTTACTGAGAACTTGCATATTCTGACTTCTGTTATCTACTTTATGCTAATTCTTCCTTTTTAAATCCCACTGCCAGGTTTTTGTGAACATAGTACATGTTGGAGTTGGCCCAATATCTCAATCAGATGTGGACTTAGCACAAGCTTGTGGTGCATGCATAGTTGGATTCAATATACGAAACCCACCCAATTCTGTTAGCTTAGCAGCAAATCGAGCCAATATAAAGGTATTGATGCTTCATTATGTTGTTCAAAGTCATCTCTTGTGTCATCCATGTTGCATGTTGTTCAACTTATTTAGTGTAAAAATGGAAATTATATTGAAGATACATGGAAAGAAAGTATTTGGTATTAAGGTTTTTCTCTGGGGGATGAGGAAGTCTGAAGTGTTTGTAGTTAGACAGGAACTTATGTTACTACCTAATTCTCTGACCACAGATAATGCTGCATCGTGTGATCTACCACCTTTTGGAAGATGTGGGCAATTTTATTGTAGAGAAGGCTCCTGGAACTCAAGAGACACAGATTGCTGGAGAAGCCCAGGTTCTGAACATCTTCGAGCTTAAGGGAAGGAGCAAATCAAAAGGAGAGGATGTGAAGATTGCAGGTTGTCGGGTTCTTGATGGTTGTGTCGCCAAGTCATCAACCATGAGGCTGTTAAGGAGTGGGGAAGTTGTTTTTGAGGGATGTTGTGTGTCACTGAAGCGGGAGAAGCAGGACGTGGAGACTGTTGGAAAGGGGAATGAATGTGGCCTTGTGATCCGCGATTTTGATGATTTCCAGATCGGAGATATCATCCAGTGCTTGGAGCTAGTGAAAAGGAAGCCAAAGTTTGTCTCATCAGAAAGTGGGGCTGTTCGGATAGAGTGCTGATAATTCATGGGAAAGACGCAAGTCATTGTTTATTTTGGTAGTATAGGATAGAAATTTTGTTTTCTTTTTTAACAACTTAATTTTATTTGCTTTGGTCTTTCTAATAATCATAGGAAAAGACGTGGGAAATTTTGATATTTAAGGGTCCCCTCCTAGTCACCACAATCACCAGTATTATTGATTGTCACTGTATCTCACCATCAAGGACAAGGAGTATGTTTGCGAGTAGGTTGGCAAGGAGAAGAGGAGGTTGTTCAAGAAATGGGTGTTGGGCATATTGATGACAAGAAGGGGCCGTCGGATATTTTATCTTGTATACGAGCATTAAGAAATCACAGAGGGGGTTAGATTATATGTCAAAACCGTTGTCTTATAAATTTTCCTTGCTTCTTAACAGGGTTTATTTCATGCCAGTCAGTTGAACGCACAGAAAAAAATGTTGTGGCTTTTTTTTTATTGCATTCTGCAATTCATGACATTTAAAGAGCATAATTTTCATTGTAGACTTGTATTAACAACATTTCTTATATAGTTCGCTAGTACCCTTCCATGATTTCTTCAGCTTGCCACCAGTGAAAATGAATATTAAATGTCACCAATGGGTTACATCTAAACGAATACTGCAGTGCAAATGTGCAATGGAGTGGAGCCCCATTCCAATTCCAGAAGGAAAGGGATTTCTTCAGCTTGTTCGTATTATAAATTTTTGTCACAATTATTAATTGAGCTTCCAAGGGTAAAAAAGAAGGCAAAATGAGAGGGCACGACTGAAATTGCTATACATTTTACCTCAATACAGAAATCTGTCTCCTGATTTCAGGTAAAAAATTTCAACCTTTATATGATAATGTTTCTGACTTTATGTACAGAAACCATGCCGGTATATCAAAAAAAGAAGAGTGATATTTATACATACAAAATACAATAGGGGGTAATGAAGTCAAAAGGGAACAAAAAGATAGAAGATGAACAAATGGACTTAAGCGCCAGCTAACAATGGCTCTCTACCAGAATCGATCTTTGTTAACACTCAAGTACCCAGCCATTACTTTCCCCCCTGTATTCCTCATGCCATCTATGAGAAAGCACCACGTAGAACCCAGAGCCCCGATAAAGAAGTCTGCGTCCACAGCCATCAAGAAATTGACTAGGGGATAATTTGTACTGGTCTTTCTACCCAGGCTTGCCTCGTATGAAGCCATTGTTGTGTTTCCCACTTGCCGTGTCACATTTGTGTAATAGAAATTCCAATGGGGATATGATCTTGATTTATCTATGACTTCCTGAACATGTCCCATGTCATTAACAATGTAAGGAGACATCTTCAAACAAAATAATTGTTTCAAAAAATGAAAGGAAATCAAGCATGAAAGAATCTTGAACCTGCATTTCAGTGGAAAGCCAGATGTTGTTGAGGTGTGGGAAGCGTTTCCTGATGCGGTCAGCTAGACGCATGTACTCTTCAAATTCTACCACCTTCATTTCACATGCCTTGTCTCCCATTCTTACATGTATGCTTAAGAGTGGCCTAGGGATCCAAGGTTTATGATTGGACCATACAAATTGTTCTATATCAGATTGAGACCTGTTTCCAACACCCTGTGGAAGAAAAAAACAACACATTCAGATGTCCAAAACCAATTTTGAATATTGCGTAGAGGATAAAAGAACTTTCTGGGAGCTGTTTGGTAGTTGTAATGGGCAGCAAACATGGTGTCATTTCATGCATACTTCATATTTGTGGTATTTAGAGATTTAGAACCCCAAAACTTCAGCAAAATTAAGTTTACTCTGCCATTGACCCAAGAGTAAATGTTAAAGCAATAATAAGTTATAACTATTGGAAAAGATAAGAACTAATAAGAGACAACTTGATAAGAGTGGACAGTTTTTTTGTCAAATCTTTCTACAATGCCTTGGCTGAACCAGAAGAGGGGCAAGAAATACCTTTTAATAGGATCTGGTGCAAAGGGGTGCCTTTTTTTTCAGGACAGCCCATCTGAATAGAATTTTAACAAGAGACAACTTGATAAGAGGGATGGCCTTGGAAGACATATTATGTGAAGATCCTATGGAGTCAACAGATCGTCTGCTTCTTCATTGTACTTTCTCCTCGTCAGTCACAAATAGTGAAAGTAATTTTGAATGGAATCTCTTAACATTATCGGAAGCAAGTAAGGCCACTAACAGATCATATTTGTGGCTGATTTTTTTTTGTGGACTTCCCAGAAAAGAAAAGGTTGGATTGACGTATATTAACAAAGTAATCAAGGGATCTTCTTCCTCACACACATTCTATAAATTGTGGTTGAGGCTTCTCAATGGGTTACTTGTGGAAGGTTGAAGGTTGGTTTGCTTGAGGGCTTTATTTATCACATGGAGGATCTTGTAGTTCAAATATTTAGATTGTCTGATCCCATAGCTAACAGTGGGACTCCTAGCTAGATACAACCTGAGGACAGAAAATATTTAGATTGTTGTTGTTGTTGTTCACCATTTGATTAAAGCCACCTATTCAAGTCTTATCTATAGCATCCAGTTGACCTCATAGATCATAATTTGCAATTTGTTTATTGTTGGCCCTGTTTCCTACCAAGATGTTTTTATCATGGAACAAACTAAGTAAACCAACTTCTACTGAAAGGATCCTAAATCACTCTTTTACCAATTAGAGTGGTTAAGATAAACCTTTAATACTATCATACCAATACCAATTTATTCAAAAGGAAGAAAGGTTCTGTACAACATCAATAATAATGATAGGCAGATGGGCTTATATGTGCCCGAGTTTCTCAAAGAAAATGGAACCTAAAAGCAGTTTTATAAACATACTATACTATTACTATAAAAATCTCAGGCACTAGGTATTGTCAAGTGTCAAACCATATATTCTATAAATCCTGGTTGCACTGCATAACTCAATGTGCTCATTTGCACCTTGCTTGTAATAGTCTATATGGTCTCAAATGCAGGCACACTGCTGTGATGTGTGATGGATAAATAGATCATTAAATATAATCAAAATAATTGAATTGTCCGCGGCACCATGACAAAATAGTTCCATGATCACATATGGCAACATTATGGGTTTATGAAGAAAATCAACACTTGGGACTTGGGAGAGTAAAAAGTTTGAAGTAAGCAGGGTGTATGCTTCAAAGACATGTTTTTACCCTCCACATTGCGAACCAAAATGACAGTTTGGAGTCACAGGAAAAGAGTTAAATCCACTAGGTTTGGTTATTCTTTTGAACCAGAAAAGTTCTAGTTAACCAGGGCCCATCCTGCTCTGATAGGCAATATCCTCATCAGTCTTTCTCTTGTTATGAATTAACAAACCAAAGTACTGGAAAAGGCCACATTAATTAGAAATGGAGTTCGTGCAGGCAGGTCAGTGGAGGAGATCCTTGAAGAAGAAGCAAAAAATCTCCTGTTCAAAGAGATGAGAATCAAGGGGAAGGTAAGCCTGAAGGTAAGGGAAGCGAAAAAGGGTACAATATTGCTGGAAGGATTAGAAGTGATCAAGTGGCTAAGAAAGTTCATAGTTGGAGCCTGTTCA